CCGAGTTTCGGAGAACAGACCACAATGTTCGTTTAACAAAGCGAAAAATATTGCGTAAAAACAATATTTTTTTTTTTTTTTTTACCGCAAATAATGTGCAGAACGTCCTATTGTCGTGAAATCATCGAAAACTTATCGAAACGTTGAACGGTCGCAGACATCGCACGCCTATAACGCGTTTAGTGTGTAGACATTTATCGTTCAAGTACAACCGCGACGTCAAACACTGATGCGACTGTTGATCGCATAATGTTCCAGGACGAATACCCAAATACTTTGAGCGGCATTTCGTACTTCGTCCCTGAGACCGGGTGCGGGCGGATAGGACCGTAATCAAGGTCGTAGTTAGGGGGGTGGGGCTAATACGGGTGTTAGAACACCCCCCATCGACCATATTCTATGGTATTTCATCAAATTTCAAACTTACTTACAGTAGGTATAATTTGAATAAACGTTGTATACAACTTGTCGATTTTACATACACTGTCTCAATATAATCATTTTCATTAGTATAATAATTTATGTAAATACATGGTATTCATTTATATAATATTGGAGGAGGGCAGAGCCTCCCACTTACCATAAGTCTATTAAATGTTGAAACACCCCCGTTAAATGAATCCTGGATACGCCACTGGCCGTAATAGCCACGTAACAGTAAGCACCGTGTTCGCGTCGAACACGTGCATGGGAATAAAATTAAATGAGAAATAATTGTCACTTGTAATGTTTCCCCGGGAGTTGAATGGTCGCCGGCAGAGGACAACCGGACGACGGTCGTAACTTCCGGAAGTTTGAGACTCGCGGAGGACGTGCGTTTCCCCGCGGGAGCGGTGCGCAGATAGATATGCGAATCCGTTTTCGCGTACACGATGATGGAGGTGGTGATGGTGGTATAAGGGCAGTAGCAATAGATAAAAAGGTGGTGGAGCAGACGCGATATATATATATGTGTGTGTGTACGCTGCGATAGTAACGGACACGAGCAGCAGAGAGTGGAGCAGCAAATCAAGTCGGGTACAGATCGTAAAGATCTTAAACATGTTTTTTTGAAGTCGACTCTACTATTTTAATCAAGTCTCGGAGGAGGTAGCAGTGGCGCTGCTGGCTGGCAATTGAATAATGCGTATTTTTCCGCGCCGGAGGAACGTTTCGCGCGCGCTCAAAGTACAAAATAAGTAAAACGAACAAAAAAAGTATATATATATATATATATATATATATATAAAATAAAAAAGGAAAAGTGACGTAAAACGTTGCAAACGGTGGTGGTAGAGAGGGGAGTATAACATTACATATTTATGTATTTTAAAGGCATCATAAAAAATAATGAAACAAACTTCCTTGCCTGCAGAATTATCGGTTTCGTCGTGCTAATATTTCTCTCTGTCTCTCTCTCATTCTCTCACTCACTCCCTCTCTCTCTCTCACTCTTTCTCTCTCATTCTCATCCCGTACAACAACGCTCACTGCGCTGATGTAATAGCCAAATCCAGCTTTCCCTTGTCGGGATTTTTCATCATATTTATACATTTCTTTGCCCTCTCCCCTTCGGGTTGTGCACGGGCCTTTTACCCCCCCGCACCGTCTCGCCGCGCCGTCGTTGCAGCCACCACCGCGCCGACAACCCGAGAACGCTATTTCTTTTTATGCTCGACGCCTGGGATATCACTCCGGCGCGCATTATTGCTACTAATAAAATCGTCAAATTTAGACAGATTTATGCGGTGCATTATTTTTTATTGTTATGTCCTTCAAGGCTTTAGGACCTGGCCGTGTGCAACCGCCTACCCGTCGCCACCACCACTACCTCCATCGTCACTACCAACCCCGTCACCACTGCTCACCCCGTGTTAGTATATACCTATAGCGATCGCGCGCGCACGTCCCTTTGCCTACACCAGCTCCGCCTGCGAACGTGTACGAGTGGAACGACAGTGTTTCCGAGGATGTTTCCCCTAGCCCGCGCGCGCACCTTTTTTCCTCATTCTTATCTCGGTGGAACGAAAATATTGTTACCCGTATCGTAAATACACCGTACGCCGATGTGTCGCGATGTGTGTTGTGTGTGTGTGTGGGTGTATGTGTGTATGTGCTTGCTTGCGTGATTTATACAAACGTGTGAGTCGCTCCTTTCCGCCGATGAGCCAGAGATCGTGTCGACCGATCTACCGCCGCGACGGGGAAAAAAAAAGGGAGAAATAAATATTTTCGCGGGGAAAATCGAACCGCGGCAGAAATGATGGAAAACCCGAAATATTCGTACGAAACCGTACATATACACTACGTGTGTGTCTTTAGCACCACCGTTGATGCATAAAACTCTGCCGTCTTTTAAAAATTTTGCTACATTGGTAGAGTTCTGCGATCGATTACGGGAATCTCAAAATTTGACCAAAACGAACACCGTTCCACGTCCAGTACTAAATTGCACATATTACTTCTCAATGCACTCAACCCTCAAGCGAATATGCATTTGACAATAAAAACGCGCACTCATCCTTGCATATTGTATTTTGATATACTCGTCTAAAAACTAATTTACGTTAAAATTTCAAAAAAGTTTTATTTCTCAAGCTACACGTCTTCTTGAACTTTTATTCTTACACTCCCGGGTTTTCTCACAGGAAGTGGTACTTGGACTATGAGGATATCGATCCCGTGAACTCAGCTTTATCCGTCTTGGCAACGGAGCTGAATGGACTACGGTGCAGTTGACTCGTTCAAAATGTTCAGGGCAAAATGTCGATCGACACGTGTGCGATTTTCGAAATCCGAATTCCAATACGTTCGTCGAAACGACGTTTCGCGCGCTTTCCCCCCCCCTCCCACAAGTTTCCCCGGTAATTTCAGAACGGTTGTGTAATGCAGTGCCGGAAGAGCAGTTACGTGGGACGGCGATGATGGTGGGGTGGTTTTTAGCTGTGGCCGGAAGAGGAGGAGGAGGAGGGATAAAAGTTTTAACGAACGAAAGTTGACGAAATAAAGCCGGCAATTTATGGCGACATTTCAACTTTGAAACGACCAATATGCGCTGTTTCTTGCCTCGCGTCTCCACCAACTTTTCGGACATAGAAGAAGGAATTAATTATACGGACCAGGAAATAAAAACGTCACTTCCTGCCCCTCGAAGTCGTGTCTGCCTCGCCGTTCTCAACTACTCGATTCCACCTTTTTTTTTTCTATTTTTTTTTTTTTTTTTAATACAAAAATGTCTCATTTCCTTCGCGGCAAAAAAAACAAATTAAACAAACAAACAGAATTATGGGATTTTAGTATTTAACCGAAGTTTTTTTAAAAAAATACCGTATACGCCCAACTAGAAACTCATTAGCTGCACAATCTTCAGTAGTGCAAAAAAATATATAATATTTCAAGATCCAAAACTAGATAATTAAATTTATCAAAAACCTAATAGAGATCCGAATAGTTTAGCGTGCAGTTTATATAATTTACAACCCTTTTCACTAAAACAACACCGCTCATCATTATCTTTTTCGTTTAACAACGAAATATTTTTATTACAGTATTAAATTGCACGTGTACGATACGCATACGACTAAGATTTGTAAAAAACAATTAATCAATGTAAATGCAAATTTTTAACAAACTTTTGTTTTACAGTATAATTTTATATCCTATGTGTATACATATTTATTTCTGAAAAACATTTATATTCAGCCATACGACTCCATAGAAGTTTTAAAAAATCTTTTTCAAAAATAAAATTGTTAACAGTACCAAATTTAGTGGCGCACAAAATAGGGAAATGCCTAGTGCGTTAAATATTTTTTCGGTCATATTTACAGACGTATTGTCGAAAATGTAGTAATGTTTTTTTCAGGAGTTACCAAAGTTGTTTATTGTTAGGTTATTAAAATCAATTTTAACGACCAAAATAAAAATAAAACTTCGTGACTAACTGTATACATAGAAGTGGTGAAAATAAATTCACTCACGTCCGTCACTCGCGTCAATCCGTCTCCGATCGTTTATGTTTTTCATTATATGATACGAAATCGATTTGCGTGAAACGTTTATTTACTGCTAGAGAAATTCGACGACTTTAATTTCTTGCAAACAAATCCTCGTGACTAACTATAAATCCGACCCGTGACGATGTTTTTCGATCGCCGTACAAATACGCGTGTGTACTGTTTAGATCAAAAATAACATATGATTCAGAATGCACCGTCCTCTGGATTAATCTATAAAATTAGTGTTTGGAGTTTCGATATATTTTTTTGTGTGATTTATTTTTCAACTTCCGCGACTGATATTAATTTATTAGTTATTTTTCGGCAATTAAATAATATTGTTCGGTTTTATTTGCGCACCGTTAAGCTTTTTCAATTATACATGAATGTTGGTCATTTTTTTCCTCCCAAAGTTCTATGATAATTTATAGTGCTGCGTAAATTATTTGGATTTATTGACTGAAAGTTGAAAATTAGATCGAGTTCGTTAGAGTTATAAAATCCGTTAATTATAAACTCGAACAATTGACACTAGCGTTGTGTGCAGGATGAGTACCTACACTTATATTTTCGGTTTATCCTAGAGTTTTTGAAAACATTCACGCTTTAATTAATATCGTCAGAAGGTTTGTGATTGAATCATATATTTCGCTACTTTTTATCGTATTTATTTAAAATAATTTTACATTTATCAATTGAAATATGTTGGATAGAAAATTTTGATATTAAAAACGCATATTTTCATAAAATTGGAAGGAATTAAACGGAATTTTGTAATCAATCGACATTAACGTATTATCAGTGTTTTAAGTAGGGCTGGGATTTTAATGTCCTTAAAAATCACGAAAAATTATCATAAAAAAATGCAAAAATAACTTAAAAAAACTCAAAAAATGCATTAAAAAATGCCTTTAAAATTTAAAAATATTACATTACATGTACATAAATATTTTATTATACTTCATATATTAATAAATACAAATTATTTTTAATTGTTACAATAAATCACGTGAGCGTGCCTCATGTTGTTCCCCAATAAGTTTTTGTAGATATACATATTTTTTTTTTGTTCTTCAATTTGTTCTTTTCATTGTACTCCATTAATATGTTTGTCTCTTGATATATGTTGTTGTATGGTAAAACGTTTTCCAACAGAAAATTTTACATTGCATACCTTACACAACAAAAATAATCCGTCAGTAGAAAAAATCTATAATCTATAATTTTAAATTAAAAAATACCAAAAATGACTTAAAACCCCTTAAAATGCCCTAAAAAAAAGAAAAATTACCTTTAAATCAAAAAATGTCATAAAATGCAAAAAAATGCAAAGTAAAATTTCTTATTTTAATTTAAAAATACCTAAAACATATTTGTAACAAAACTAGCATCGTACAAAAACCTTTAGAAAAAAATGCAAAATGCATCGAAATCCCACAAATAATACATAACCAGCCCCAGTTATAAGTATAAAGGTTAAGCACTAGTGTTCTGCATAGTCTGGTCTTAATCAGTCCGATCTAGTACGGGGTTCTAACATATGAAAATTATTGAATCGTCAGTTTTGTCTGGTTCAATATTTTTTATGAGTAGTGCGGTCCAGTCCTCAGATCAAATGCTTTATTTTCAGTCAGGTTCAGTTTCAAAAAAATAAATGAAAATCAGTGCGGTTCGGTCTTACTCCAGTCCCAATCATAGTACTTAAAATCTATACACATATATTGTTATGAAAACAAATAAAACGAAAAAAAACCTACAACTTTAGGTGTATATTTATTTATTAAGTCTGGTAGTCCGGTCCAGTATAATATTAAACGCATCATATGGTACGGTCTAGGCTAATACAGATTGAACCTTACGGACTCGTCTATAAACGGTCCAAAATGTTTTAAGATCGGACCGACATGTCGCGACTGTCCGGTTCACGGTATACTTTGTTAAATGTTATGTTACTAGTTCGGTCCGGTCTAAAAATAATATGAAACCGTCGGTTCGGTCCAATTTTGATCTTTGATTAACGTTTAAGTGTGGTCCGGTCCGATTTCGGTCCCCTGGTAAAATTTGAAGTCCGGTCTGATCCTTAAAATAACGGACCTTGCAGAGCACTACTAAGCACATTTTATAATGTTGATGATATAATAATGTATGATAATAATACATAACTTTAACTACTCTCAAAAATAATGACATTTATTGGTTAGTCGATAAAAACTGTTTCGACGAGGCATACATTTTGTACACTAATATTTGGTGACATCTTGGGCGCATAAAATCTATTGATTTAAAATCATAAAAAATTAGATGAGAAGAAATTTAATAAATACATTTCATTTTCTCAAATTTGGCATATAGGTACTAATCATTGGTATGCTAATGATTTATTCTAAGACCAGTTATTATATATTTATTATACTTTATTAATATTGGTCAATTAACCCGCATGTAATTTGCATTTCACCGTTGATCGTTTCGATATTATCAGTTAATGTTAATTTACTTAATATTTAGATATTATAGTCCGTATACATACCGGAATGACATCGGACCCAACTCATCACGTTCGTTTTTAATTAGATTGAACCCGGTATTAAATGCATTACGCACGGTATAATACGAGAGATGAGGCACCGCACTTTAAATTATAATAAGTCACGAATCAATGGACGGACCCTTCGCTCGTGTCCACCGATTGTCTATAATACAAGTCGTCTGTTTCGCAAAAAACAAATTTACGGATTGTAAAATTAATAAAATTAAAAAAAAAAATCCATAAGAGTACACTGCGAGGCCTTACAATTTGTTGAAATGGTTAATTATCTCTTTACGAGACATTTAAATCGGAAAAATTTACTTAACCTTACCCACGCGGTATCGATTGCGAACAAACTGGACGAGTATGTATTTATTGTTTTCGGTTTTTATTAAAAGGTAGATTCGAGCGGTGGAGTTAAAAATGCATACGAGAACCAATCATGTATAAAACTACAAACCATAGTGGTGGATGCGTTAATATTGTATATTCAAACCGTCACATCGGAATATTGAAAAATCCGTAAATCCTATTTCTCTTAAAACGAGTGGAGGTACATTTAAACAACGCTTATCCGTTCAATTACTGCGCCCTATCGTTAATGTTTATTCGTCACGATTATGATGTTATGGAATATTACGATACCTGGTGTTCGTGATTTTCAGAGTTCGCTTTCGTGTACATAATGTATAATTTAAGGTTCATGTAACACATATACACGAAGAATCGATACGCTTTTAGAATAATATATAATCCAACAATAATTCTTTCTTGGCCACTTAGCGGTTGACGTTGAACCCCAGAATTACAATACAGAAATCCAAAATATATATGTCAAAGTATAGATATATCTTTGATTTATTTATAGAATCTGGATTAACTCACTCTCGTAAAACTACTGTTAATAAAAATATATTACACTCGTTTATAGCTCGAATAAATAATGCACTTAATAATAACGTTTTATGATAAAACCCGGTTTTATTGGTAGAATTCAAGTTTTATCGAATTTTTCAACAAAAATAGTGCTTCGTTTATGAAATATCTAATTTATTATTCCAATGATCAGGTTGAAATAATGCGGCCATTGTATGCTCAAATGAATAACTTATAAAACGTCATATCTTAATATTTTTTTTTAATTAGTCATGTTTATAGAGATACTCAGGATTATTACATTAATATTCTTACGATAATGTATTTTAATGTGATAATTTTATTTTAAGCCCGACACGTTTTTAGACATTTTCTTTCGTCTCCGTTCAATTTTAAAACGATGAAAATGAAATACCAATTCCTCAAACTCTATTAGTATGCTTGTATATTGATTGAATACTTGTTTTGAATTATTATTTTGTTTGATAAAAATAAATCGAGACAAATTTTAATTAAAAACTTTTATTTAAATATTGCAATGTTACTTTTTTTTTTCTTTGCGCACGAAAAACATGTATATATATTTAATTTCATAATTTAATAAAAACAATACAAACCGATTCGTGTTCCACACTACGACATGTCGACGATTTCCAGTCCGTCCGAAAACTTTCAATTACGTAACCGTCGAACTTCGATCCGGACAATCGTTTCGGACGTCATTCACATCACCCTCAGCGTGTTCAGGAATGTTTAATTAAAATTCACCTAATTACAAAACGAACTCTGTCTTTGTTCGAGTTTTCATCAACAGTGTTTCCATATAATGTCCACCGTTATCGACGACGACTTATCGGAATTTTAAAACTTGACAGAAATTGTGTCCGCTCGCGCCAAACGTTTTCACCTCGAATGACACCAGCTACAGTAGTCTTCTTGTCGTCGATACGTAACGTTTTGACAGGCCAGCGATACGGACGTGCGAATTGCAAAGAAACTGTTCGCAAACAAACCGTATCTAAACAGAGTTACGCGATTCGTTGCACTGCCGTTTGACACGGCACGATTTTTTTGCGTACGAAAACTCGAGAAACGTAAAACATTACGTGTTCATTTTTTTTTCTTCACCCGGCTGAAACTCTGAATTTATCTGAACGATTACATAAGATGTGTGCAAAGTACAATCGATCGTGAGACAAAACATTTTTGCGCGTTAACGTTACGAATCGATTGTTTCTGATTCATTTCTGATTCCAACGTCATCGTGATGGCGCGTTTTATTCAATTGGGTTTTCGGCCGAAATGCCGATCCGTCGATGCGCCTACGATCACATACGTAAACCGAGTGTTACGAAATAACGCATATATTTTTCGCGAGGTAACGGTGGTAGTTGTGGTGGGGGATGGGGTTAGCTGCAGCACCGTAATACAAGTAAAGTACGCGATATTACAGCGTACGTGTATTATGTCGTGTATACGTGTATTGTGTCTGTTCGTGAATCGATGGTGTTTGTTTTACGCTTCCCGGTCGGATTGCGATCCTAACGATGCCGCGAATTTTTTTAATCGAATCGTAAATACATCGGGACACAATCGGAACGGCTGTTGCAACACGTCGTTTGCGACGGCGCAGGTAACGGAACGGGAGTTTTTCCGGAGCGTTACGCAAGCTCCTGGCGCGCCCGACTCAAGTCTCAAAGCGCCGCCGGCAACCCCTCGCCGTAATCCCGTCCGTCGCGACCGCATCATCGAACACGGTATTAAACACGGCAGTTAAGTAGATAACATTAACGTACTGGCGAACCATAAATAAACGCATTCGTTTTTATTATTATTATTTTTTTTCCCCTCCCCCGCCGGTGGTCGTTGTTTTTCAAGAACTCCCTGGCAAACGGTACCGCGCGTCGTATAGCCTGAAGAACGGTTATATGTATTTAATGCGCCATTTAACAACCGCCTAGCGGTAATTAACGATCGCGCGGTCTTATACACTCTTCCGTATTATAAGGAGTTGGCTCTCAGTTGTTCCTCCTCGGAGATTATCGGCGCATAATAATTATAACAATCATTTGGCACGGGCGGAGGTGGTGGTGGTGTTGGTGGCTCGGCCGGCCGGTTGCGGTGGTGGGGCACGGGGTGTAAACTTTTTGCCCCCGGCTATTATCTTAATCAGCCCAGTGCTTGCGGTCGTTACAATTATTTTTGCACGAAAAACGAGCCCAACCAAGCTCATCCGACGCTAAACCCACGAATTTTTATTGTAGTCATATCTTTAAAAAGTGTTGCCTACGCCGGGGGACTCGTTTGCCAGTGATGCAATTAAACAATAGTATATATTCCTTCTCTTTGTTAAACACAGATATATACGCTCCTCGACCGTCTTGCCGTTTACGCAATTGTTGTGTAAAGACGAGCTCGAGGAGCTGGTTTCTCTTATTCCGTTTTCTTTCTTTTCTTCCCCCCCCCCCCACGCACTCGCCATCGGTTGTACATATATAAGCGCGTCGTAGTGTAACAGTCGCAGTGTAAGTGTATACACTTGCCCGACGGCTCCGCTCCAATAACAATAATTTAAACGCAAGCTCCCAAAACTGTAATATCAATAAATTGTCTGCAGCAATCTTCCGGAGGAATTAAAAAACACCGTGAAACCCTTTCTTTCGACCTCGTGCGGATCCTCCTCCGCGCGCGCAATTCGTTTTTAACAAAGTTTACGTCTAATACGTACATAACGCTGAGCATTCGAATCAGATATTCGTGCAATCGGATAACTTAATCGCCGTCGGACGGTGACTACTGCGTCGTGCAATAAAACGTTATTGTACATGTGCATCGATTCGATTGTCAGTCCGGAAAACCGTCTGGCGCATAAAGAACGTCCGACCGACGATCGTGATGATAATACGTTTTCGGCATTCCGGCCGGGCGGCTCAGTGGATTTCCGACTCCCGGTTGGAACTGAACTCATTGCGCGGTGACGACCGTCGTGTGCCAGGAGATAAAGAATAGCGGCAAGCGAGGCGGATTCGTTGAACCGGTCTAGAACGTCCGCACGGCTTGTGCGTTTACGTTTTCAATCCAGTCGGTGTCTGCAACCCTAAGTGTTTCTTAAAGTCTTCTTCGCATTGTCGTCCGAACGTCGCAAACTAATGTTTCGCGTTCATCGAAACTTAACCGTTCAAGGACGTAATGTTTTGTGTAACTGCGCGGAATGCGATTTTTCACGGTGCTGATAATGAAGAGTCAAGCGTTAGAATCGATCAGTACAGCTTAAAATACACCGTACGCTATCGTCTAAACTTTTAGTAAATGATGGCCAACTATCCTTATGAAAGCAATACCTCGCCTCTAGTATATCCGACTTCTGTGACGAACGGTCCGTGTCGGAAAATCCGTTAGAACTCTTTTTAAAGTAAACAATTTAGTACCTATGCGGTTGGTAGATACAAAACACAAATCCGGATTATGCTCCCTGTTTTATCGGGCAGATTGGAAGGGTCGCCATTGTTTAGCGTTGCAAACTAATTCCAGGCCCTTGGCATCACTCCAATCAGCGACTTCATCTCCTTTAGTATCATTCTCTTTGTAACGCCACACAATATTATGACTATTGACAGTAGTATATTCTCAAATGTTTTGTAGAATATGGCTTAAAATTTTTTCTAAAAAAATAAGCGATTTTATAATATTTAAAAAAACACATCAAGTGTTTTATTTTTTATGAAAATTACATCCACGTGATATAAATCAATGTTATCTTTTTCAATAACTTCGTAGCAAGTCATTTATGAATATTGAACTTTATTTTCTTCTTGGACGGTCGAGAACCGACAACCTTTCAACAACCAAAAAATATGCCACTGACTATTGAAATCACTTATGTAGATAGAGAAGTGACTAACAAAGTGGAGTGTAGTAGTAAGCTATTTTATATTCGAGGATCTATAGATATTTGTTATAATATTTAAATTTCCAACTTTTATCTCAATAGTGTAGATGTTGTTTTCTTCTGTAGTTCTGATGTAATTTTATATTAAATCGCTTTTCTTGTAAATGGTACCACCATATTTTACTGTTAAAAAAAACCACTGGCTGTCACGTATTTTCTGATAAACTCTATTTTCAATAGTGGTTCCTAGTCGGTGATTTCCTGAACAACAAGTCGTCTATATTTTCTTCCGTCGCGATTATTTCCAGTACTTCCATCTTGGCTTTGTTTATAAGTTGTGGCATTTTGTTGGAGGTACTGCCTTATGTGTAACTGGTTGCGTAGCATAAATTCTATACCGATAAATTTTATTACATCACTATACAATTATTAATCTATGAATATTTTGTAGTTATTATGCAAATCATTCTTATGTTGCAGTATTTTCATATCGGTGATTCCGTTAGCGCTATCTGCTGTTCGCCGTTCCTATGTACTACGGTATACACTATTGGTAGTCGTTACCTACGTCGCCCTTTAGTAATATTTTGATGCCATATATTAGTTATCTCCGTTACGTAGTCCTCTTTTTCCTTTATGAATTAATATCTAGGATATTATGAATTTAAAATCATTTAAATGTAATTAACTTGTATTCAAACAGGTGGAATATCATAATAAACGAATTCAAATCTATACATATAACATTTTTACTCAGAAATCTTGATTCACCACCTATCACATTAAATAATCAAACAATACCAACGGCAATGAAGTTAAATATCTTATTCTACTTTTGTCTATTTTTTTCATTGTATATTTTTCATTTTGCCGAGTTCACATTATTACAATTTCTAGCATTCTAAACTTGCTTTTAATATATATCATTCAAGAATACGAATAGTAATTAACAAATTTATATTCACATAATATTTACAAATGTTGTATTCTTGTGTGAATTGAAAAAAAAAAACACCTATTATGAATTCAAAAGTGGATTAGTAGAAGAAATAGTGTTGGAACATTAAATAGTTTATGTGTTAAATTAAGAAATAAAGATCCATTGTCATACAAATACTTTTTGATAATGGATAAATAACTTTTTCAATACTTATGTAATATAAGCTAATTGACATACTACCAGGGCCAGCCCAAGCAAAAATATCAATCAAGAAAAATCAAATTTTGCCTCTTCTAAAAAAAAATTGAGTTTTTATTTTAACTTAGACCCTCCCCCCTATTTTTTACGTGACATATCTACATACAAAAACTTTCAGTTTTTTATTTTATATATAAAATTGTATGTAAAAATACTTAAAAGTGATTTCTATAAATATTACTCAAAATCCATCACTATCGTGAATATCGGAAATCACGGAAGTGATTGTGTGGTTATTTATATTTTTGGAATAAAAATGCTTATAGGCCGTAATATAAAATAATATAACTTAAGACAATATTATTTTATTATTTGGTAAATGGTTTCCAAGAATAAATTAATTTAAATATTTTTCTTATAAAACACCGATAGAACTAAAAAAAAGTACGAATCAATTTTGAAAATGTCACCTCTAATAGGCAGGAACCTAGATCGCCTATACATACCTAGAGCCGGCTCTGCATACAATTGACAAATTGCATTCAATTTTTGCTCAACATATCGGACTGTTTGCAAATTTGTGGTACACTAATTTTGGCTAATTATTATATGTTCCATGATTCAAATTTATGCATAAAACATTTTTTGTTTAATTTTCGGATATACAGTGTCTTTTGTGATATCGGTGGCCACTATGAATTCACGAAATTTAAGTTTTTTTAAACATTGAGACTCTCCTGTACTCGATATCAATTGTATGTTTGTATCAATTGTATATAAACTAGAAATCTCTATTTATGGGGAGTTAAGTATGTTAATGATTATTGCTATTCTTACATTTTTCTTCGCGCTTCTATTCCTGTTCGTTCATGTTACTGGTGTTTCGATTCTATGATACTGTAATGCCGTATTTTGCTGTTTGAGTCTGGTCGGTTAACCTAGACAATGAGTAATTTTAGTTATTTTTGAGATACGAGTAATGCGATCGTATTATTATTTTTAAGAACAGTATTAATATGGATTATTCGGCGTAAAAATATTTGGATATAAGTCGTGTTTTTTTTGGAAATTCTAAAATAATGCATGTTAGAACTAAGTTATGTTACCATATATTACATTTCAATTCTAAATATTACCCATTGTGATTACAAGTGTATCAATGATTCAACATTTATTTATTATCCCCGGATCAAGGGTTAAATAATGGTGAATATTTTTAAATTATTGTTTTTCGTCGTTGATGATCAACATGTTACGAATATTCCGGTAAACTTATTGTACTGTAAAAAGTTCAACGTAAACCGTGAAAAGTCTCCTTGTTTCGTTATCTTTTTTCGGCGACATTTTATAGATTTTTACCTATACTTACTATGGTCCGGATCTCGTGTTTGAATTATGTTCGATTGAAAATATTACATGCGCTGGAAGACGTCATCTTGAGTGCATATATTATAATATATACCGGTGATAAAAATGTATAATATAAAAGGGAATGAGACGTGTTTGCATGTATATACATAACCATTCAAGTGTATACGTAATGTACATAGGTTATAAATATATATATATATACATACATCAGATGGCGGGTCGGGGAGCAAGGAGGAGAGCAGCTCAATTAAAGTTTAATCCGAAATTATTACATCTTTCCGGTGTTACGGTGTTCACGGAGAAGGAAACGGTTTACCTCCTGCTCCGATCCTTGCCGTCAGTCTATACCGTAGTATAATATATACATATACATACTGTACCGCGCGCGAGGCAATAGTCATCATCGTCGTCATCGTCGGGGACCTGTGTCGAGCGCGAAGGGAGGACGCGTGTAGACGACGACGACGACGACGACGACGACTTGCTTAGGAATCGTCTTGATTTGCCACCGACACTACCCGCTGTTACCCGCGTCACGTCCCTTAAAACGCTACACACGCGCGCCATCCCTGCAATTCGAGTAATATAGAGCTAGCAACGGCGGCAAAACGACACGTCTCGCTCTCTCAGTCCCTGTTCATTCACCCTCCGATCCTTCTCGTTCTTCGTTCCTTTCGCTATACTGCCGTTTTCTCTCCAGATCCATCTCTCTCTTTCTTGTTCCATCTCCCACGTACGAACACGGTGCACCATAACTTTCGTCCGCCGCCAATAAACGTCCCCTCTACTCCCCTCCACCACCGAGCCCTTAAGACGGCATTCGTATTACTGTACGTACACCTCGCCCTCACCACCCTCCTGCACGCTGCTAATAATGACACGGCGACCGGTCGAATTTATTAGCACTATGGTCGTAATAGTATGGCGGAACTGCAGCCACGGAGCGTTTTATAAAAACGGCCGCGTATACCACGTGCTCGCACGATTACGTCCTTTTGTATATATATATTTATTTATTTTTATCTGGAGTGCTGCTGGGAATGATATTATTTCCGCAAAAGAAAAATAACGACCGTCGTTGAATATATAAAGGTCTTCAAACGCACCGGTATACACGCGGTGCCGGCGCAGAGTATGAAGCCGTATTCCTAATATGTTTATATATATATATGTGTGTGTGTGTGTGTGTGTGTGTGTGTGTATAAATATATCATAATATATCATCGCACAGGGCAAACCGTGTGACTTCAACGCCTTTTGTTCGTGGTAACGAGAACCGAACACTGAACTAAGGTCAATAACGGTGACGGATTCGAACCCTGCGGTGATGTTAAAAAATCGTTTGATCCTACGTAGAAATGTATTTAAAGATGGTGCACGTTTTAGATCGACCAAATAGGAATTTCAATAAGTAGTTTCTGTGCTGATGTGTTTTGCTTTGATTAATGATTTAACTGTATCAAATAAGAGCTTTGTAGTAACGAATTGAAATGAAAAAACAATAAGTTTGATATGATATGGAAACATTGTGAAGATCATCACTTCGTTTCACTAATGCTGCATCATCGTTACGGTTTTAACATGTAAAAAAAACCTAATAAATTAATAATATATTGTTGTATTATTAATAGGGCTCGGAAGTTGTAGGAATTACAATATGTTCTCAATTTATAGCAGACCAAGCTAGAAATCTAAGATATACAAGGATGAATTTAAGAATCGAAAATTAAAAATACCTATTTGGTTGATTTTCATATGCATATTATCAGTAGCGGATTTAGCATTATTTGATTTTTATAAATTAAATTAATATTGGATATATATTATTTTTATTATAAATAAAAATAATTTTAAAAAACCAACACATTATTCAAATAATTATTAATAAAAAAATTGATAAATTTAATTATTTAAATCATTTTATACATTATTATTTTATAATTAAAAAATTACAACAAATTATAGGATATGACGACAAGCGATAACATTATAAATATAGAAATGAACTGCAGTAATATAATGATAATTTTACCGCGGCACGTTGTCGCTTACGCTTTCCTCTTTTACATAATAATATGTGTTATCACCACGAAAGAAAGTACTCAACTAACGTAATAATTGACTACATTGATAATTGTCAAATGGTTATATTATACATACACGCGATTCATTATTATTTCATTCTTATTCGGATTCACGATACACGATGATCATCTACAACTGCGTATAAAAGCAAGATCTTTGTGCAAATTCAAATCATTGAAAAATGTTATTTTAGCATTTTGCTGCTAGATATTTTTATAAATAACGATTTGAAGAAAAAACACTTAAGTACATCATTTAATATCTATGATTTTAAATAAATTATTCATCTATAAGATGAATTGGCCATGTTATCTATATAGGTGGTATGGTATTTAAAATATAAAATGTAATGAATATGACAAATAAAACTAAAGTTACGGCGACTCCGCACTTTGAATTTAAATAAATTTATTTTATTTAATACAATATATATTAAAGAAAATTAATTCTGACGGACGTATTTTAATTACGAAAAAATTACTCGTTTCACAAATGTCGGCTATGTTTGTAATAATGTATTCAAAATTCGTATGCCTTTATGCAGTGCTCGTTTTGTAGAGACTGTAGATTTTTTTGTGAAAATTAAGTATTCCAATCCAGTGGTGTGCAGAAAATCCTATTTTATGAATGCTTTTTATTAGTGGCTTTAAACATTTTTAGCATAAAAAGAAACAAATACTTCTGTTATATTTTCTTTTAGAAATGTCGAAAATAATCTGAAAAAATTGCTAAGCTTTAACTTTCTACTATATATTTTAAAATTTAATATTACGCTGCAAACCAAGTCTGACAGCTCAAATATAGGATAAATACGAAAAATATCTCTTTTACATATTCTTAATTACTAAAATTAAATAATAAATATATTGTAATGACAAATAGTGGCGGTCTTGTAACGTTAACTAACATGTGTATAGCTCTAAGAATACAACAGTCTTAATTCTGTTGACTCACCTCGTAAGTATCAGCAGTATCACGCAATTCGAAAGGTGACAAAAAACTGTTTTTTGCATAAAATAATAATACACTTCACTGATGTATGAATGTTATGTGTTATCTGTGTTAACTCAAACTTGTTTTCCGAACATATATTTCGTTTGTGTACAGTAAACATATTTTAATCGAGGAAATGTCGTAAAACAAACCTGCAACAATTAATATTTTATAAGTACGATAAGAACTATAAGTATCTATAAGTTAAATCGGTCCATCACGCTAAGTAGAACGTTTAGAAGTTAAAAATTATAGTTTCGTTGCTTTGGTGCGCAATATGAACGTAAACGGTCTGAATCAACGAGATCACAGGTGTTTTCACCATCGGACGCTCCGCAATTGGGTTAGGATAGCTTAACATATACAGACACATTAAAATGTACGATTGGATATAGTTATATTTACTCGTTGTACGTTTGCTTGCAGCGCATTACGAAATGTTTATACAGTTAACGTATTTGCGTACAAAGTAAACGTAGTGAGTATGTCAACATTGATTTAATGACAAATAATGGATATTACAGCAACACAGTTGAATTATTGTCCGACGAATTCATTTCTATACAGTATTGTTATCGGTGGCGATGAATCAAACCAAACAATCGGTCCTTTATTCATACTCTTTGCGAAAAAGTGGAAACCCAATTCGGAAATTCGAACTGGAACAACGATAATGTTCGAAATAAAGTTAAAGCTCAAACGTTCGTTTAAGCTTTGAAATTTCAATTCGAAGAACTTTAGAGATGAACTTATCCATCCTTGAGTTTCATTCTCAGCGAACATCAACCGATTGCACAGTATTATATTATCGATGGCTTATAGTTTTAGTCAGGCCCGTCCCGAAGGGGGTCTTGAGGGGTGTCCCATCCTCCCAACGAAAGCACTTGTCGGTAGTCGGACTTGTTTCATTATAGCCTAAAACAGGGATGGCAAATCCATGGCACGCGTGCCCGAGATGGCACGCGAAAAGATTTTGTGGGCACTCGAAAATTTTTACTATTATATAATATATAGTATTATAGTTTATAGAATATAGGTAATAGGTAAAAATATTTTGAGCATATGGCTTTTATCGGTCATTAAGGATTATTCTTATCTGTAGATAAAATAATAATACCTATATTATTATTGAGAGTAATAAACCTACCTCAGTAAACACTAATCAGTACAAATACGTCTGTCAATTTGTAAGTGCGTCGTGCGTGTTTCGTGTTTCGTGCGCGATTATTATATTTTATTTAACATTATTTAATATGTTTGTACCAAAAAAAAGAAAAATTAGTGAATTAAATATTAGTAGTTGTAGTAGCAGAGAATTTCAAAATTCATGGACTGAAGATTATGGTATGGTTAAAAAAGGCGATAAAGCAGTATGTATTTTATGTTCAACCACAATAGTATGTAGAACATCATCTGTTAAACGACATTATGAAACTATTCATAATTTTCTTTTGAAAAAAACAAAAGAAGAACAAAAAGAGTATATTCTACAAGCAATTAAGAACAACAATTTGCAGACAAATACATTAATGAAGTTTGTAGGTAGCAATTCAAATATTGTTGCCGCAAGTTTTGCTGTATCAAATGTCATTGCAAAACGCGGAAAGCCCTTTTGCGATGGAGAATATATTAAAGATTTGATGCTGGAAACTGCATCATTTCTATTTGAAGATTTTTCTAATTAAGATAAAATTATGCAACGCATAAAGGATTTACCAATAACCAGAAATACTGTAAAAGATCGGATTTTAAAAATTGCAGAAAATATCACAAATCAACAAATTGCAGATTTTAAGTTGTGCAATGTATTTTCAATTTGTCTTGACGAGAGCACTGATATTACTGGTTCAGCTCGATTATCTATATTTATTAGATATTTTGTTGGTAGTGAAATTAAAGAAGAGTTGGTTAAATTAGTCTCATTGTAAGAAACAACAAAAGGAACTGATATTTGCAAAGCAGTTGTAAATACTCTTTCTGAGGCAAATGTGGATTTTTCAAGAATTGTTTCTGTTACCACTGATGGCGCACCTAGCATGACTGGTAGAGAATCAGGGTTTATTAATTTATTTACTAAACACGTGGGACATCCCCTGCTAGGTTTTCACTGTATTATACACCAAGAGGCATTGTGTGCAAAAAATACTTTTAAATTATTTGATGCTATAATAAAACTAGTAACTAAAATAGTGAATTTCATTACTGCGCGAGGCTTGAATAAAAGAAAATTTGAAAATCTATTAAAAGAAGTAAACTCGGTATACAGAGGTTTAGTTATGTTTAATAATGTTCGCTGGCTTAGTCGTGGCAATGTTCTCCAAAGGTTTATTGAATGCTTTGACGAAATTAAAATGTTTTTGGATGAGCAAAATCAAATACATGAAGAATTATCTGACTTGGAGTGGATAGCCAGATTGATGTTCTTTGCAGATTTCACCCAGCATTTAAATGAATTGAATATTAAGCTACAAGGTGATAATAAAATAATCACTTGTATGTTTGATATGATACAAACATTTCAGGTAAAATTAAAAATATTTAACCGTGACATAATAAACAAAAATTTCAAATATTTTCCTAACCTTAAAAAGTATATTTCGGAATTGGAAATTTTCAATAAACCTGATATTACTCATCTTATCCAAGAATTTTTAAATATTATTGGGACAGCTATGAATGAGTTCTCTGCACGCTTTACTCAGTTTAAAGAATTTGAAGAAACCATGAAAATTATTGTTTATCCAGACACATTGCCATTAGAAAAA